GAATGATAAGGTTGGAGCACATGGGCAGCGGTCCCCTGAAGGTGATGGGAAAGAAATAAATGGTAGCAGAGGTACGCTTTAGTTGTGGTTATAATTAAGATTGAATTATTAATTAATTAAAATTTTATGTTTTAAATTTTAGTAATTATTGGTTAAGTCAACGAGGGTGGGTTTTATTGGTATCAATTATACTTTTCTAAAGTAAAACTATTTAGATTAATTTTAGTTTAAATTAAAAAATTACTTTTATATTTTTTAGTCAGTTTAAAATTTTTTAATTATTATTTTATTAATTTTAACATTTAAAAAACTAAAAATTATTTAAATAAATAAATAATTTGGTAAAAAGTGGTTAGAAAACTTTAAAAATTTTGAAATTATTAAAAAATTTATAAAAAACGTTTTTAGATCAAAATTTTCAGTTATATTCACATTAATCATCAATTTTTTTGGGTTTTAGACTTGACATCTAAAACTCAAACTATTTAAAATTAGTTTGGTTTGTTTTTTAATTAAAAATAAAAAAAGGAAGAAGGTAGTTTGAGAGATTATTGGCCGGATATATGAGAGAATGAATTTCAAAATAGGCCCCAATCCTCTTTGTTCCATTGGATCAGATCTGAAAGAATGAGAACCTAAATCATATTCTCACCATCCAACCAAAAAGAAAGAAGAAATTAAAATAGAGAAGGATGGAGGTGAAGGAAATGAGAGATAGGGAGGGACAGAGAGTTAGGGAAAGGGAAAAAGGTTGAGGAAGAAGAACCGGAAAATCATTTTAATTTAGTATAATTTTGTTTAAATTTAGTTTATTATGATTAAATTTGATTTAATAAAATTAAATTAAAAATAATTGATTCCTTCATAAATTAAGAAATAATTATGGTAGGTGAGATTTGATTTAATAAAATTAAATGAGAGCTAATTTATTTGATCATAAATTAAGAATTAGTTCTGTTAGGTGGGACTAATTAAATAGGTGAAATATATTACTGTAATTGTTTTAATTTTTAAATATAAATAAAATAAAATTTAAAGTTAAAAGTAGTTTTTGTACTATTTAAATTTAAAAAAATGTACATAATTAAAATTTAAAATTTAGAAAAATGTACATAAAATTTAAAAGTAGATAAACTTATAAACTTAGCAATTTAGGTAATTCAATCCATTTTCTAATGGTAGACTTAGTCTTTGTTTGTACCTTATTTACATGAATAAAGTCAATATTTATCACATAGTCAATAATATGTCAATACATTATTTAAGTGAGATATAAATGTGCATTAAATTTAACATAAAGAAAAAAAAAAGAGGATTAAAAAATTACTAAATTTAGGGACTTATTTGTTTTAATAAAAATTTAAAGACTTAATCAAGAACACAAGGCAAGTTTACAGGCTTAATGGAAAGTTTTGCCTATTAAACACTACTACCTGTACTTGAGCAGCCTAATTGGACTATTTTGGCCGGTGGATTTTTTCTCTCCAAAATTATTATTTCTCTCTCTCCTGAAGTTGACAATAAACATAACACCAATTTTCAAGCCTAAAACTCTCAGAAACACAGAAGCACAGAAGCACAGACTAATTCCAAGAAGGAAATCAAGATACAAGTTGACACATCGGTTCACTTCATTCACCACAAAAGGCCTCTAGAAGTTTATCAATGAGTTGTGGGTTCCATTTTTCCATGATTCTGCGAGCGACTATCATGGGGTCCTCTTCTTTCCTATGCCCCACCACATGGTCCATGATAGTGCCCATGTTCTCTTTGGCCACAATTTCTATGGCTGGCTGAGCTCCAATGACATTGTATCTTCCCTACCATAATTAACCCACAGTATTTGTATCATCCCATTTTTCACACTAGCATAGAACAACCTTTAAAAAGAGCATGGCTAAAAGATCGAGCTTACAATGTTGGAGCCCTGTAAACCAGGCTCAACACACTCAAATCGAAAGCTTGGAGACTTGAAGCATCCCTATCATCTTCCTTCACTGAACAGCCATGTGCTAACACTGGAGTTATAAATTTCCCTTCTTGGAAGCTTCCTGAAAATTTTCTGACAGGATGACTGTATGCAACATATTACAATTTTTTTTTTTTTT